GTGTTCGCTTTTTCTGCCCTTGTCTCGCGTTGCCCCGCAAAGTAACAGAAGTGAATCGTATTTTGTTTGCTGCTTGCGTTGCCGCTTCAGTGCTGCTGTGGGGGGAGGAGGAAGAGAGAGGACGACGAGGAGGAGGAGAAGGAGGAGGAGGAGGTAAAGGAGGAGGCGGAGGAGGAGAAGGACCATGAGAAGGAGGAGGGGGAGGGGGGAGGAGAGGGTGAAGATCTAGGAGAAACAGGAGGAGGAGGAATTTGCGGAGCTGGTGGTAAAGGAACAGGGGGGTCCAGAAGCTGCGCTAAGGTGCAATAGTAAAACCACCGTGGGAAGATGATGCTTGTCTTGCCCCTGTGACGTTGCCACGTAGCGAGTGCAGTGCAGTAGTTTGGTGGTTCCGCCCCTTCCGCGCGTTGCTACTCGACGAATCTAGCAAACTCGTGTTTTCGTTCTGCTCCCTGCGTTGCCACGTGACGCGTAGCCATCGCCATCACCTCCACTACCGGCGTCGGCGCCGCCGTTGCCGCCGTCACCGGCGTCGTCGTCGTCGTCTGCGTCGCCAGCGTCGTGATCGTTGTCGTCGTCGTCGTCACCGCTGCCGCCGCCGTCGTAGTCGTCCTCGCCGTCGTCGGTGGCATTGCCGAAGACGTCGTAGAGTAGTTTTTTTGCACAGAGCGTTGCCGCCTAACGAGTCGACCAAACCAGTATGTATCCGAGCCCTGCGTCGCAACGTGGCCAGCAACGTAGCGTGGATGTTTCGCCTCCTTGCGTTGCCACGCAATGGACCAACTGGGGTAATTGTTTCCGCCCCCTCGGCGTTGGCACGTGACGAGTAGAGTACAGCAGTATGTTTGTATCGCCCCCCAGGCGTTGCCACGCAGCGAATGCAGTGTTGTAGTTGTCTGTTGGTTCCGCCCTTCTCTCGCGTTGCCACTCGACGAACAGAGTACACAATTAGTTGTTCGCTCCCTGCGTTGCCGCGTGCGTCGTGGGGGTGGCGGGTGGGCGGTGCAGGAGGAAGGGAGAGAAGGATCAGGAGGAGGAGGAGGAGGGAAAGGAGGGGAGGAGGAGGAGGGAAAGGAGGGGGAGGGGGTGAGTACAATCTAGGAACAAGAGTTAGAGGAACTGGCCGAGGGCGGTACAGAAGATGGGGGGGGGTCAGAATCTGCGCTGCCGCGCAAACATGGATCCGCTGGTGCCCACGTGGCACGAGGTACTGCGCAGTAGCGGTCGTAGGAAATAGGAACATGTAGGAGGATGGAGGAGAAGGCAGGAAGAGGAGGAGGCGGATGGGGGAGGAACAGTAGAACGAGAACGGGAGAAGTACGCGTTGTCTCTGGAACTCCAGTGGACGACGAGCTCGCAGAGCAGCCTCGGGTTGTGGTGTTCCCCGGCAGGGCTCCTTGGCGTTCAGTGGTGGCGGGCGTCGTTTTTTTGGTGCGGTTCTCCTGGGCTTCGTGTGTTCTGGTTGCCGTTTTGCGTGTTCTGTTCAGCGGCCTCTTTCCGGTGATTGATGATGATGATGATGATGATGATGATGATGATGATGATGATGATGATGATGATGATGATTATGATGGTGGTGGTGGTGATGGTGGCGATATTTGTGTTGCTGCTGATGATTATGATGCGGATGCTGCTGATGCTGCTGCTGATGATGCTGGTTTGATGATGATGATGATGATGATGAGGCTGATGATGATGATGATGATGATGATGATGATGATGATGATGATGATGATGATGATGATACTGACGACGACGACAACGACGACAATGAGGATTTTGATTATGATGATGTTGATGCTGATGCGGATGATGATGCTGATGCTGATGATGTTGGCGATGGTGATGATGATGGTGATTGTGATGGTGATAGTGTTGATGATGATGATGAGGACGACGATGATGATGACGATGACGAGGGTGATGGCGATGACGATGGCGCTGGTGATGATGCTGATGTTGATGCTCGGTGGTGACGATGCTAGTTGATGAGGATGATGGTAATGGTGATGGTGATGCTGCTGCTGGTGATGCTCATGCTGATGACGACGATGATGACGACGGTGATGATGATAGTAATGATGGTGTTGAGTGTGATGATTGTGATGGTCATGGTGATGGTGGTACTGGTCATGGTGATGGTGATGATGACGATTGTGATAGTGATGCTGTTGCTGATGTTGATGATGATGATGCTGATGATGATGACGATGATGTTGCTATTGACGATTGTGTAGTTGAAGGCCATGCTAATGTTACCTACCATGATGGTGAGGCTGATGTCGATGCTGATGCTGCTGCTGATCAGGAATACGTAAGAGCTTTTCGATGGCACCAGTGATGATCAGTCTCGCCCTCTGCCGTCTCTGGCCGTCGTCGGCCGTCGGTCGCCGCCCTCGGTTGTCGTGGGTCTTCGTTGGTCGTCGACCGCCGCCGCCGTCGGTTGTCGTCGGTCGTCGATCGCCGTTGTCGTTGGCTGTCGCCGTCGTAGCGCTGGCAGGCATCTCCTGTCGCTCGCCCTCGTCGGCGGCTGCTGCGCCGTCGCGGCGCTGGTCGTGTCCTGGCGCAGGAGCGCATCGCCCGGGCGCTCGGCGCGGGCGTGGTTGCCGCGGGACTCGGAGGAGGAAGAGGAGAAGGAGGTGGACGAGAACGATGGAAAGGGGCAGGGGAGGGGAGGGGTAGGGTGAGGATCGGGAGGAGGAGGAGGAAGAGGAGGAGGAGGGGGGGAGGACAAGCTAGGTGCGCTCGCGTCATATCCGACGTCCTACCTCTCCCTCCCATCCCTTACCATGGCGCTGATTTTCTCTATCCGCGGACGCGTGTCGTAGCGGACCCTGTGGCTCCGCGCGCGCGTGCGTAGTGGGTGGTGGTGCACGTGCGTGCGTGCGTGCGTGTGTGCGTGGTTGTCGTGGTGGTGGTGGTGGTAGTGGTGGTGGTGGTAGTGGTGGTGGTGGTGGTGATGGTGGTGGTGGTGGTGGTGCTGGTGGTGGTGGTGGTGGTGCTGGTGGTGGTGGTGTTGGTACTGGTGCTGGTGCTGGTGGTGGTTGTGGTGGTGGTGGCGGTGCGGCGCGGTGGTGGCGGGCGGATGGGCGCGCGAGAAAAAGGCCCGCGCTGGGGCGAGAACGCCATCCTGAACGACGGAGGCCAAACACCGATCCGAAAATGAGGCCCACGCTGCAGCGGGAGCACGATTCGGAACGATTCGGGAGCAGAAATGAGGCCGGCGCCTCAACGAGAGCAGCATTTTGGGAAAAAATGACGCCGGCGCCTCAGCGAGAGTCGTTTCCCGGGATTTCCTGGGCATCCTGTGTGTAAAAAACAGTACGCGGAGGGTGCGCGGCCATCACCCGGACGCCATCAGGGGAAGAGGGAGAGTATTTTCATATTGAGTAATTGTGAGGAGGAGGAGGAGGAGGAGGAGGGGGAGGGGGAGGGGAGGGGGAGGGGAGGGGGAGGAGGAGGAGGAGGAGGAGGAGGAGGAGGAGGAGGAGGAGGAGGAGGAGGAGGAGGAGCAGGAAGAGGAGGAGGAGTAGGAGGAGAAGTAGGATAATGACGAGGAGGATGATGATGAGGAGGAGGAGGAGGATTGGGAGGAGGAGGATTGGGAGGAGAAGGAGGAGAAGGAGGAGGAGGAGAGGGCCAGTGTAAACCCAAGACTTATCAACGATGTTGAAATAAACCCTCCCTCGAAGCTCCCTCTTCACAGCTCCCTCGAGGAGGTTCAGTCCTTGTAACTACTCAATGCTGCGCGGCGGCATGGATTTCCGTGTTTCTGCTTTGCGTTTTATTGTTGCCCTCGCGTGCTTTTCATGGGCCTCGGAGTTTTTTGGCCAATTGTGGTGCGTGCTAGGATCCTGGCCGTTTGCGGTGGTGCTGCTATGCCCCTCAGGGTTCCAATCCTCTCGGGTCTTGATATTTGTGCAAATGGTTGGGGGCTAAGCGGCTGGTCATCTCCAGGAGCACGGGCAAGGTTCTTGCTGCCAGCTCGGACTTATCGCGCGCTGTTTGTGCTGGTCGTAAGAACTGGGGTTTCAAGTCGCTGCGCGGTGCTCGCAGTCTCGCGTGTGATGTTCCGCTTTGGGAAAGGTCGCTATGATTTAAGATGGGAATCGCGTGTATTCGATCGTTTGCGTTCGTTGCGGCCTCAGTTCAAGAAGCTCACCTTGGTTTCGCGGGCGGGGGCGCTGCTGGCGGGCTCCCGCGGCATCGGGGTGACGGGGGCGTCGGACGAACGATTTCAGGTTCTGCGGTCGGCTGTTTCTGGAAGTATCTTTGGTCCTGCTCGAGGCGGGCCGCGCTCGGTTCAGCTCGCACCTTCGTGGCGCGGGGCGGCGGGCCCTGTCTGCACTGGGGAGGCTCCTTGGGGCACTTGGGCCTCGTGGCGGCAGATGCGGAACGCGTTCCAGCGTTACCTTCAGAAGTCTCCCGACGTGTCTGGGGCCAGGGTCCGCGTGCCAACCGGCGCCGTTGCACGTGCGCTCCAAAAGATATGACGGGCCCCAGAGTCCAGCTCCAAGCGGAGCATGCCGACCCAGGTGACGCTCGATCCGGTTCAGCTTCGGACCGCCAGTTTGCAGCGCCTTGTCGACATTGCAGCTCAGGATGCATGTATGTCTGCGCTGAAGTGCGCGTGTCAGGGCGTCGCCTACAGCAAACCGACGTCTCAGTTAGTTGCCGGTGCCCATGAAATATTCAGGCGCAGAGGTGATAATCTCGAGGCTGGGCTTCTCAGTTCATGTTGGATGATGTTTTGCCTCCCCAGGATGAGTTGTTCCAGGATTTTCAAGTTTTGGGAGGGGATTGCCAGGTCTTTGGGCATCCAGTAGGTGGAAGGTTTCGCGCGCTCTTCGGGCGCCCCCGGCGCCTCCAGTTTCGTGGGTGCTAAGGCTTTGGGAAATGATTGCCTGGGTGGGAGAGAGGTGAACCTCGAGACCCCTCCCTCACTCGGCGCCTCCTTCCTCCTCCTATTGTGCATCCCTCTTAACTTTAGACAGATGGAGGTGGATCGTGCCCCCCCAGTTTCGTTCTGTGGAAGGCCTCTTGCGCTCCGATGGCTCCGCCCCGGATCCCGAGGCTAGGCGCTTCAGCAGGGCGGGTTGGGCTTTCGCGCTGATGAATGAGCAAGGGGATGCGTTGGCGAGTACGCCGGGCCCCGTTGCCGCAACCGCTGCAAGATATATGCGGAGTTGAACTCTACGCAGTGCTTGTGATTCCCGAGCTTTCAGGGCCTGGACATACTACTTTTGGGGTCGCCTGTGCCGCTTTGTTTTTTTTTGGGGGGGGGAACCGAGCTTCTCGCCAGGATTGGACAGATATTCCCTTGGGGGAACTTCGGTCTGAGGTCTTCCAGAGGCTTGAGGATCGAGGGCCTAACTCTGTCTCTATATTGAAGTCCCCGGCCGCGGACGCCTTGGGCTGCCCCAGCTGGGCTTGGCATGGTAATAGAGCACTTGGTTTCCTGAGCAAGCAGGCCGCCAGTCAGGCGCCACATGCGGAGCATCTTCAGATACTGGAGGCCCAAAAGGCCGAGCAGCTTTCCTCTCTGGCAATGTACACTGCCAGGCTTTTTGATCAATGCTCCAGGAGCCGTTTCCCTGATGTTGAGTCTGCTAGGGCTCGGGCCAAACCGAAGCCTTCGGGTCTTCTCATACTGCCGAGCCCGAACGGTCACGAGGTTTTGCCTGTCGCGTCTGCGTCTCCCGCGAGAGGACATACGTGGCCCTGGCCCTCATCCCGTGCAGTGGAATTTCCAGATTCATCAGGCAGACTCACTCCTTGCATCTGTTGTGGAGGTGTCTCGATGTCTCGAATGCGCGTCTGTTTCATTGTTATTTGTGCGGATGTTCTGGTCGAGCGAAGGTGCTGAGGGTGTAAGAGCCAATGTTTGCGTTTCCCTTCGGACAGAGGTGTTGGCAACACCCTTCGCGTCGTGAAGCGCGGTATCGACCCAAACACACAGAACCTCTTCGGCCGCAACATACCTATCAGGATGAGGTAATCGCTGCGGCCCCATGCGCCCCCGATCTGTCCTGCTCTGCTCCCGTTTCTGCTGGTGGTTTCTCGTCGTGGGATCATGTAGTGGCACCGGGGAATCAGGAGGAGGAGGAGGAGGAGGAGGCTGATGATGCTGATGAGGTGGAGGGGCGCGGGTTGCCACTCAGTGGACCTGCCCGCATCGCATGGGTCGCGTGGGAGAAGCAGGGCGACGACGGCGACGACCATGGCGACGGCGACGGAGACGGCCGTCGCTTCTTCCAATCGCCGCGCGCCCGCACGAGAGAGAGAGAGAGAGAGAGAGCGAGACAGCGCGCCCAGGAGCGTGCTGAGACTGCACCGCGGGCCCGCCGCCCGCCGCCCCCCCCCCTGCCTGGGCCGTCGGCGAGGAAGGCACGCTTTCTGGTGGCGTCGTCGTCGTCGTCGTCGTCTTGCTGCTGCTGCTGCTCCTTCCCTTTCTCCTGAGTGCCCTCCTCTTCCGCCACCTCCTCCTCCTCCTTCTCCTCTTCCTCTTCCTCCTCCTCCTCCCCCACGAGGATCAGAGTCGTCGGACGTCTTGGACCGATTTGGGAAGCCGGTTGCAGCCGGGACCTCTCTGGGACTCAGGAACCCTTGGGGAGGTGGAGGTGGAGGGCATGGCAGGGGGAGTACGGGCGTACGGTCGGACCGGGGTATAAGATCGGTGTCGATTCTGGGACGGTACCGTAATCTTCCTCGTCATTAATGGGTGTTATTGTGCATCCTGGGGGAAGGTACTCTCGAGTGATCTTATGGTTTGGTGTGTTTTGGCCGGCGGAGGGTGTCATGCTCTTGAGGGATGCTCTTCTGTACTTGGACTGGCTGTATCGGCATCGTTGCGCCTTTTTGTCTCCTCGGCAGCCGCCTTCTCTATCGTCTCTCCCTCGATCTTGGCCGCGGGCGTCAGCGGAAGGAGTGCGTCAGCGGGCGGACAAGTAATTCCGACCGACGCCTTCGCTTCATTTCGGGCCTGGGACTTTCACGGATCCATGTGGCCTCCCTCAGATGCTCCCGACGTGGTGGGCGAAAAACATATCCATATCCGTGGCCTCGCGGGCTGGGCCCTTGGGCCAAGACCCCGCAGATACGGGGCGTTTTTTTCGCGGATGCCCCGCGCGGCACGTCCCCGTGCGACCGCGTATCCGCAGGATCGCGCCCTGGAATCCAGACCGCGAGGGCGCTCATACGAGCATGTTCGCCGCTCGTGACAACGCAATCCTCTCTGAAGCTTGGTGCCTTCTGAGACTTGAGCTGCCTTCGCAGAGTCCCTGAAAGCCCTCAGGCGGGCCTCGAGGAAGCGGCGCACCTTCTCGGAAGGCCGCCTTCGCCCCTCACCGCTCCGCCTGCGCCACCGCCTCACCGCCGCGGGACGAGCAGGTCAGGGCGCCGACGGGGGGCGATTGGGCCAGCGGGGGAACGTTCGACACCCCCGGTAATTAGCCAGTTCATCGCCAATCAGGGGCTGGGTACCCCGCCACCCTCATCAGCATGAGTTTTTGTTTTTTTGTTTCGTGGGCCTCTGGAAGGATGCATCGGCTGATGTATCATCGGTTTCGAGTCAGTGTCCCCCCCCATCGAGCCGGTCCCCCAAGTAAGAAGTTGCAATAACTGACTCAAGGCGTGGACGATGTTTTTCTGTTATGTGCGGCCCACCACTCAGTTAAGATGGGATGTGGCCTCGGATGCTAAGCGCTCTCCGTGCTGCAATGTTAGAATCGAAGTTGCAATGGAACGGCATGATGCCGAAACCAGTATACAACAACATACAGCACTATAGACCACTATAACAATATACAACAATCTACACCAATATACCTCGATATCCACCAATCTACAACAACCAGTGCAATCATACACCAACACAACATTCCACAACCTTAACGATACAACAGTATACACCAGCATGCAACAAGACACAACATCATACAACCAGCCTCCCTTGCTCATACACTCAAGCTCATGCCAGCTTAACGGGTGGCTGTAGGCATGCCGATGCGACCCACATTGAGCAGTGTTGAGACCGAGTCAGCATCGCCATTGCACCCCACACTTGCTGGAGATAGCGTTCCTCTGGCAAACTATTCGCTCTCAATCCGCGAAGCTCTTGCAAACTTTCAAGACGAACGCCCGCGGGGCGCTCGGGCGAGAGCCGCATTTTGAACAGGAGCGCCGCCCTCGGTCCGCGAAGCCCTTGCGATTGTGAAGACGAGCGCGCGCGGCTCAAAGAGCATAGCCACACTTTGAAAAGGAGCCGCCCTGTATCCGTGAAGTTCTTGTTAATGTCTGTGACGACTGTGCACGGCGCTCAGGCGAGCACCGCATTCTGAACAGGGGGCGCTTTCCGTCCGTGAAGTTTTCGCGACGTGTGGGAGGAGCGTGTGCGGCGCCATAAGGAGAGAACCACATTTTGAAACTATCCGCCCACTATCCGTGATATCCCTGCGCATTGTTCAAAACGAATGTGCGCGGCGCTACGGCGAATCCAATCCTTCCACATTTTGAGAATCGCCCGCCCTCAATCCGCGACACCTTTGCAACTTATCAAAACGAATGTGCGCGGTGCTTGGGCGAGAACCACATGTTGAAAATGGCCCGCCCTCCATTTGTGAAGCTGTTGTCAACTTGTTGGTTTCAGGGTCAGGCCCACCTTTTCGACCAGCCTCAGGGTGCGACATGGAAAAGTTATTTACAAGGAAGAGGAATTCGAGGAACGGGAGAGGAGGCGTGGAAGGAGGAGGAACAGTGGGGGAGGAGGAGGACGAGGAGGAGGGGGAGGAGGAGGTATGAGGAGAGTGAGGAGGAGAAGAAAAAACAGGAGGAGGAAGAAGATGATGATGAGGAGGAGGAGGAGGTGGAAGAGGCCTGGTTCCCTCGCCGCGCCCCGCCCGCAGGCACCACCCAGCCTACGCCACCGTGCTGATGAGGGCGGAGGAGGAAGCGATGCCGCCCTGCGAGGCGCCCGCGGGCCTCTCGATTCCTTGGCGATGCGTGTTGTCGCCGTCGTCGTCGTCGTCGGTATCGTCGTCGTCGTTGTTATCGTCGTCGTAGTCGTCGTCCTCGTCCTTGCCGCCGCCGCAGCCGCCGCCGCCATCGTCGTCGTCTTCGTCGTCGTCGTCGTAGTTGTGGTCGTGGTCTTGGTCGTCGGCGTCGCTGCGCTCGTGAGTGCGGTAGTCTTCGGAAAGGGAAGCAGATGATAAGTATGGCAGGAGGAGGCGGAGGAGGACGAATGATGGGACGGAGGAGGAGGAGGAGGAGGAGGAGGAGGAGGAGGAGGAGGAGGAGGAGGAGGAGGAGGGCCACCTTTTCACCCCGAGTCGCGAGGCCCCCCGGGGGCCGAAAACGGCCAGATTTTTCCCGCCGGGATCTCATCACGACGCGACCGCCAGGCCTCGCAGCCTCTGGGGCAGGGCTGACCTTCTTCGGGGCCCACTGCGATTCGATCGATCCGAATCGACGTCGAGTTCACTGGGCTCGATCCGATTCGAACTCGACATCCTGGCGACCCGTTTCGGCCCGATGCTTGCTCTGCGCAGTCGTCGCGTGTCCGTGCGCAGCCGATCCGATCCGATCTCCATCCCGGGCCTGTGCAGCCCGATTCGATGCGCGCTCCGACCCGACCCCCGGGGCACCCGCGGAGGCGCGAAGGTATCCGCGCTTCGCTCCTCGCGGCCTGGGGCAGGGCAGCTGCCCTCCCCGAGGCCGGCGGCGCGAGGGCACGCTGCCGCGAGGATCCACCGCACGCCGCGCTTCGGTTCGATGCTGGCTGCTCCTGCCCTCGGAGGCCGTGACGGCGCCGGCGCTCGGAGGCGGCTTGGCGCGCCGCTCAGTCCAGCGGCCGACGCGACCGCGCGCCCCCGCCCGCCAGGAGTGAGCGCCGCCGCGACCCGGCGGCGCTTCGCTGTGGGCAGTGGCGGACCCGCCTCGTCCGCGTGCACGCCCCGGCCCCCTTGCCCTCGCTGTGAGGAAGGTTGCGCTGTCCTTCCCTCGTTTCCGCCTTCTTGGGGCTCCTGAGAGGCCCTCGTCACGGCTGGAGTCGCCTCGACATTCTAAACATGTTGCGCGTGACCCAACCTGACTATGCAGAACCGATGCCCAGGCCAGTCGCCTTGGTCAGGGATGTGGAGGAGCATGCGGTGGAATGAGAGGTTGGGGACGTCGTCGTACCCCAAGACGGGGAGGATGGGGGAGGAATCGGATGATGATGATGATGATGATGATGATGATGATGATGATGATGATGATGATGATGATGATGATGATGATGATGATGATGATCATGATGATGATGATGATGATGATGATGATGATGATGATGATGATGGTGATGGTGATGGTGATGGTGATGGTGATGGTGATGATGATGATGATGATGATGATGGTGATGGTGATGATGATGATGATGATGACGATGATGATGTTAATGATGATGATGATGATGATGATGGTGGTGGTGGTGGTGATGATGATGATGGTGATGGTGTTGATGATGATGGTGATGATGGTGATGATGGTGATGATGATGATGACGATGATGATGATGATGGTGATGATGGTGATGATGATGATGACGATAATGCTGATGCAGATGATGATGATTCTGATTATCCGTAAGGGCTTCGCCCCCTGCCGCCTGCCCCCTCTCTCGGAGAATGGGCCATGGAAGAGCTAAGTCATGAGGCTTTGGCGCTGTCGTGCAGCAGTATCGGAACTTCATGCGAGGCCGATTCGCAATCGGCAAAACCAACTGATCACAAGAGGGGTTACCACACAGGGCGATTGGTAAGACGTGTATGGTTTACGAGCTTGGTTACCACACCTTGGGATTAATGGGCCGAGGGAGTACTCGCAGTTTGGGTTACCACGCCTTGCGATGGGTGTGCGTGAGGGGTGGCACCGAATTTCAGAAATGTGGCAAATATACATATAACGGCGCACCGGGTCCGGGGGCCCGGGGCCGGGACCTCGACCACAAATGTGGGCCCCGGGGGGCCCGGAGGCTCGTCGGACCGCCGGACGCCGTCCAAGATCGTTCGCAGGCGGCTTCGGAACGCGCTCCGATGGCTCCAGATGCCTTCCAAGACGCCTGTCATGACACCAAGAAGGTCCCAGAAGCCTCCAAGACGCTCCGAGAGGCAGCCCAAGAGAGGCCCAAGAAGCAAAAATCGTGCCATTCCTATGGGAAAACGTATATTTTTCGAATGTTCGCCTCTTGGGCTTTCACCGCGTCCAAGACGGCCCAAGAGGCGCCCAAGACCGCCCCAAGACGGCCCAAGAAGCTTCCAAGAGGGCCCCAGGACAGCCCAAGAGGGCCCCAAGACGGCCCAAGAGGCGCCCAAGATGGCCCAAGAGGGCCCCAAGACGGGCCCAAGAGGGGGCCCAGAGGGGGACCACGAACCGCAAGCTCGAGCCTTCCGCCCCAAGAGGCCGCCAGGAGGCCCCAAGGAGGCCCCTCAAGAGGCCCCAGGAGACCCCCAAGAGGCCCAAAGGAGGCCCCGAGAAGCCCCAAATCGGCCCCAAAATGCTTCGAACCTGCTTCCAGGAGGCCCCCGACAGGTTCAGAGGCTCCCGAGAAGCTACGTCAAACTCCCAGCGAGCGGCCGGACGAGGCCCCCCACAAAATCACAAGAGGGTTCCAGTATTTGTATCCTTCAGCGCTCTCTGGCCTTCTTCCCCCTGCCCCCTTCCCTGCGACTTTCGTTGACTCAAGCTCGCCTCCTAGCTAGAACCTAAGCGCGCGCGAAGCGCGCGCGTGGTTCTAGTCCCCTGTGTTTTTGGACCCTGACCCCGCGGATCTGCGTGAGGGGTGGCACCGAATTTCAGAAATGTGGCAAATCCCCGGTGTTTTTGGACCCTGACCCCGCGGATCTGCGTGAGGGGTGGCACCGAATTTCAGAAATGTGGCAAATCCCCTGTGGTTTTGGACCCTGACCCCGCGGATCTGCGTGAGGGGTGTCGATCTCGAGCCCCCCCAGCAATTCAGACAACGCGCCCAGGGGGTGCTAAAAGTCCCGTTTGGGCCTCCCCCCCCCTCGCGCGGTCAGTCAATTTGTTACAGTAACCAGCAAGAAGCAGAACTGTAACACTGGAAACTACAAGCTACAACTGCGAACCCGCGCCTACAGCTTGGTGGCCCCACAAGGGGGCTGGCGGATTATATTGTTATTCTGATGATGATGATGATGATGATGATGATGATGATGATGATGGTGGTGGTGGTGGTGGTGGTGGTGGTGATGATGATGGTGGTGGTGGTGGTGATGATAATGATGATGATGATGATGATGACGACGACGATGATGATGATGATGATGATGGTGGTGGTGGTGGTGGTGGTGATGATGATGATGATGAGGATGATGATGATGATGATGGTGACGATAAGGATGAGGATGAGGATGAGGATGAGGATGATGATGATGAGGAGGATGATGATGAGGAGGAGGAGGAGGACGAGGAGGAGGAGGAGGAGGAGGAGGAGGAGGAGGAGGAGGAGGAGGAGGAGGAGGAGGAGGAGGAGGAGGAGGAGGAGGAGGAGGAGGAGGAAGAGGAGGAGGAGGAGGAGAAGGCATTGGCCCCAGGTCTTTGGCACCTATAGGAGGTCGCCAGATTGTTCATTCAGGTAGTGAACTGCCAGGGCCAGCCTTAAGCGTGCACTGCACATCTCTTTACTCCACTTACATTTGTGTGTTCAGTGCCACGACACTCTTTCGTTCGTAGTGATTCGAGCAAGAACGACCAAGCGACAGGGCCCTGAGCGCACCTGGCACAGGAGAGCCAGGGCGAGAAGAGCCAGTGCCCGTCTGCTACTCCGAGCACTCAAGGCCCGACAGCTTCTGCGACAGCATCATAGTGCCAACAAGATGACAGGACAGGGAGCCAATCGTATGCCAGGAGGTGCCAGGGCCCACGGCCCAGGCGTACAGTGGGATTGCCAGCAGTGTGGAAGATACGTCAAACAGCACCACTGGAGGTGCCTGTGCGGTTGCAGCTGCGGACAGAGTGAGCATATGAAGCCGAAGGCTGGTGGTCCCTTCGCGCACTCCCTCGGCCTCAACGGCAGGGGACCACTTCCTCGTGCTGCCAGTGTACCGCGACAGCAGAAGACGGAATACGATCGACATACCAGAAGCTTCATCGCCAATATAGTTCCAGCCACACGTGCAGAGGCCATGGCGACCGCCAGAGGACGTGAGTTGTTCCAGGCGCCCCCGACCGAGATCAAAGAACTCAAGAGCTTCAAGCAAGCCAACCGGGAGAGGCTGACCAAGTTAGCCAAGCTTGCCCTGGCTGTACGTGAAGCTGGTCATGGGGATGAGCCTGTCCAAGAAGAGATGAGTGTCATGAAACTAATGCACGCGACGACAGAATCCGTCACAAGGCAGCTGAACGACCCCCATCAGGCCAAGGATCGAGTGCTGGACCGCATCCGTGACATCAAGGAGAAAATCAAGTCGCTCATTGATGACGAACGCCAGGCCGAGGATGAGCTCGATCGCATTCGAAGCAGCATCGCCGAGTTAGAGGATTTGGCTGAGGCACAGGAGGATGACGACATGGACGAGGATCTGGGAGGAGGAGCAGGCTGCAGTGCCGCCGCGGCTAGGTGTGCTGATCACGCGATCCACACGCCTCGCGGTGCTCGGGCTCACCCAGCAGGGGCAGCACCCCCGCGGCTGCCGCGGCCGCTGCGACGGCAGCTGGGCCATCGGGTGGGCCGATACCGCCGCCGCCTGCCGCGCCTCCTCCGCAGCATGGCCAGGGCGCCCCTCCGCCACCGCACGGCGCGCAGCAGCCGAATCCCGAGATGGCGCAAGTGCAGTTCATGATTGCCCAGATGCTCAGTATCCAGGCGACCCAACACCAGCGCATGAGGGAGATCACGCAGTACTTGTTGTTGCAGCAGGACAACCCTGCGGCGGGGTTTACCGAGGGGGGGCCCGCAGCCGACGGGGCCCCAGACAGCGAACGTGGCAGAGACGGCGCACTCCAAGGCACAGGCAGCCGCAGCAGCTTCACCAGTGCCCACGACACCGCCAGCGTGCGCAAGGGGGCGGCTGGCCTCGCCCTCGCCCTTCCCGCTTGGGCAGCGCTCGCCGCCAACGCCTGTGGGAGGTTGCCCAACGCCAATTGCGAGCACAGCCCCTTCGCAGAGATGTGGGGCGGCGGTGGCGACTACGGCGGCTACCGCGGACGGCGGCGATCCAGAAGTGGTACCAGTCCCGTCACACATGGATTACCCGATCTCGCCAACCCAGCCGATGATGGAGACCCAGGAGGACCCCTACCTCGCGCAGCAGGCCCCTGCGTCGGCGACTCCGACGCCAGCGGCAGCGGCGGCGGCGGCGGCGGCCAGCCCGTCGCCATCTGCGGCAGAGGAGGCAGCGCCCAGCACGCCGCCAGCGCAGCCAGAGGTAGTCTTGGGCGACCCGGCCCAGAAGCCAGACGTCAAGAGCCCTCCGCGCATGGAGGCCCGCCAGATGCGAGCCGAGCGGGTGAGCACTGTGCCCCGCAGGTGCCGAAGGGTCGGCAGCTAAGTTGGGGTCAAGACGAAGTTAGCTTTTATCAAGTTGGCGGCGTGCCAGTGATTTCTCCCCCCGCCTCATCTGCCAGGCCCCTCCGTTCAGCTCTCAAAGCCTCCGAGTTCCTGAGCAGAAAGTGTGCCACCAACTGTTGCCCCTGCATCAGTGTCAGCGCATTTTGCCTGGACCCCAAACAGCGAATTCATTTGAGAACTAGAGGCCACTGCGGCCGCGCTTGTTGCGCCCCACGCGTCTGTGGCTTGGGGGTATTTGGCCCAGGCAACGGTGTGCAGCACAATGCTTCGGCAAGCCTGTCCTTGGGAGCTCAATGCACGGCGCTCGTTTCTCATGCAGGTTCACAGGCATGTATCTATATATTTCTTGGGGTCTCTCGAGGTAGAGGGCGCTGCTTGGGGAAGACAGCTGCGCCCTGGGGCTTGGGCTAGCGTGTGCGCG